AAAAAAAAAAAAAAAAAAAAGTGTATTTGATATCAGGAAGCATTTTAATAAATGACTTTTAGAACTCCCTGAACAAAATTAACTACATCTCTGCTGAAACCAACTTCTTTATAGGTGATTGTTACTTCACTTCTTTTCTCCTTCCTAAAAGGTTCTCTTAAATGTTTTCTTGGAGCCTCAAAGATGGACATGACTGACACATCCCTGAAACGTGGGTACCTTGTGGTTGAAGATAATGACTGTGTGGGCCCAGCTGAGAAGGTAAAAAAGCAGAAGGTCTCAGAGTGCTGTCTGCCCAAAGAGGGAGATGGGCTGGATGGTGACTGTCTGCCCGGCAGTGGAACAGAGCCCCAGCCACCAGAAGTCACCAGTGCTGGGAAAGGACAAAGGGATCCGGGTGCCCAGCTGGAGGAAGAGGAAGAGGAAGATGGCTTTTCAGAGGAGGAAGAGGAAGCAGAGAGCTTTGCAGAGATGATGAAGCACGGGCTGACCGAGGTTGACGTGGGCATCACCAAGTTTGTAAGTTCTCATCAAGGATTCTCAGGGATCTTGAAGGAAAGGTATGTTTAGTTTATGTATAAGGTTATTTAGTTGCATTAGTTTTTTCTTTAGGAAGAAATCAGCAATACAGTTTTCCATTTACCTTTCTCACCCCAAAGATCAATTACACTTAATGTTCATAGAGGAATAGGGTAGTGAAGTGCCTGAAAGGGTAAATGGTCTGATTGACAGAGAGAGAAAGACAGGGTCTGGCCAAGTAGTTCAGCCTGGCCTTGAACTCAGTTTGTAACCAAGGCTGGGCTTGAACTCCTAGTGATCTTCCTGCCTCAGCCTCCTGAGTGCTAGGATTACAGGGGTGCACCGCCACACCTGACTACATTTTTAGATATTTTAAATAGAAATCATAGCCAGTTCTTATCAAGGGAAGAACCTTTCCAGAACTGTGTAAGTATACAGAAGTAATTTCTCAAAAAAGAATCAAGTTATATCATGTACAGGTACAGATTCCCTATGATGAATGTGATTAATAGTTACTTAACTCTTCTGAGCCTGGGTATCTATAGCCAAAAAATAGATCAAGATACCATGGTAGAGTTGTTGAGAGGATTGTGATATGTATAAAGTATTTAACAGCAATAAGCTTCAGGGAAGCTCATGGAAGACTTACTGATTTATAGCCATTTACTGTACTTTATGTACTTTATGATTCAGTTCTATATGGACTGTCTGACTTCAGGCTAACATTAATAAGTTTTTATTTATACCTTTCTTAGTATTGTTCTGTGGAAGAATATTCTAGAAACTTCTAGTATAAAACCTGAACCAAGCCAGGATGATGGTACAAACCTATAATTTCTGCTATTCAGAAAGCTCAGGCAGAAGGCTTGCAAGTTCAAGGCCAACCTGGGCAATTTAATGAGACCACGTCTTAAAATAAAGGAGGAAGCCCTGGAGATATAGCTTAGCGTGTCTCTAGTTTACTCCCTAGTACTAGATGGGGGGGAAAACCCCCTCAAAACCTGAAATGGTTGTGGTCCAGCATTCATTAAAAACCAAAAACTTAATATGACTGTACACTGAAGATTTTATTTAAAATTCCTTGTACTGGTGGTAAACCATATCCTAAAATTAAAAAGTAGAATGTTAGTTCTCTGAAGATTTGTGTTTTCTTTTTATCAGATATTCTGACTTCGTTGTTCACGAAATAGGAAAAGATGGGCGGATCAGCCATTTGGATGATTTGTCTGTTCCAGTGGATGAGGAGGTAGAAATCGTTCTCTAGCAGAAGTCACCTTCTGTGTAGAAATAGCGTTTCCTAGAGTTTGTGTCTTTGAATTATGTGTGACTAACTGTGAGTTCTCATGGTTAATTTAAAGGATCCTTCAGAAGATGTATTTACAGTTTTGACAACTGAAGAAAAGCAGCAGTTGGAGGAGCTCCAGCTTTTTAAAAATAAGGAAACCAGCATTGCCATTGAGGTAAGTAGTTGCAAAGACATATTAAAGGGTTTTTAGGGTTTTGCTTGCTTCTTTTCAGCTAAATATTAGTAAATGTCCAGCTGGACATGGTGAGGGTGCATACCTGTAATCCCAGCACTCAGGAGGTTGAGGCAGGAGGATCACCCCGAGTTCAAGGCCAGCCTGAAGGTCATAGCAAGACTGTCTCAAAAAAAAAAAAAAAAAGTGTTCATTAAAAATTTACACTGTTTAACAAAAGTGTAACCTTGCCCTGTTTGATCTGAAAAAGGATTGTACTAACAAATCTTTATTTTTTTTTCAAGGGCAGGGAATCAGTATCCAGATAAAGTATAGCAAAAGAGAACTTTATGGGTTTTTTTTTTTTAATTTTTATGATCATAAATCTGGAGTGAAGTCTATTGTTTAGAACCATAGGATGGCAGTTCTGCTGCTTCAGCAGGACAGAAGCGTGGCCCTGGTTGGGAGACGCATCCTCTGCACCTTCTCCCTTGCCAGTGGGGCTGGGAGGGGACACTGTGCACCACCACTGAGCTATTCCCTTTGCCCAGGTTTTTAAGTTTCTAGTACTCGTGTTTCTTTAATTTCTAAACAATGTCTGTTAGTACATTCTTTAAGGGCAGTTGGTACATGAACATAACACATCTTAATCTATTTTATTTTTCTTAAGGTCCCCCCTTCAGATATCCATGTGTCTTTGAAAAGTTTAAAAAAAAAAAATTTAATAGTATATTTTATTTACCTTAATACATTCAAAATACTACCTTTTCAATGTGTAATCAATGTTTAAAATTACTGAGATGCTTTACCTTTTTTCCCTAAGTCTTCAGAGTTTGGTGTTATTTTACACTGACACCATCTCTCACTTCAAAGCAGCCACAGTTCAGGTGCTCCATGGCTTATGGCTGAGATAGTGGGTAGGAAACTCCACGTTATTTGTCTGGATTAACACAACATTTTTAGAAATCTAAGTTTATATTAATTTGATATTTTGTACCATTTTTGGGTTGTTAAGATTTGGCCTGGTTTTGGTTTTGGGTTTTGAGTCAGGGTCTTGCTGTGTAGTTCAGGCTAGCTTTTAACTTGCTATGTAGCCCAAACTTGCCTTGAACTCACAGCAATGTTACTGCTTCAGGCTCACAAATGCTGGGATGGATATACAGTGATCCTTCACCTATCGCGAGAGTTATATTCCAGAGACACCCACAGTAGGTGAAAATACGCAAAGTAGTGGTGCTATATTTATTTTATTATTTATATATATTTTAAGGTTTTATAAACCCTTCCCACACTCCTGTAAACCTTTCCCACCGTCTTGTTAACCTTTCCCACATGCTTATAAGCACTTCATAAGCTCTTAAACACTTTCTACACTCTTAAACCTATGTAATTTTAACAACATGTAAAATTCTACATGGGTACTCTTTGTGAAGTGGACAAGGAGAGATGCTGAACATGTGGATACGTGCAGAAGAGCAAATAGACCGATGCTACGATCACTGAGCCAGTCAGCACCCAGGATACAGAACACAGTGCTGTGGTTGGTCACCTTCCATTCCATCAGCCAATAGTACACTGTGTACAATCTCACATTGGCAGACTTGTACAAGCAGTAGTGGCGTACTGCATTTTCCCTGTGTACAGTATGATACTCATTTGCTGATGAAATACTATATTTTATTGTGATGTAATATTCTTTTAATATGTTTGAATTCATATTTTTAATATTTTTATATTTTAAATTTTTTAGGCAAAAATAATTAAAATCATAAATATTATATAAATACCTATATATGACAAAATCCCACAATATAGCGAAAATTCTGCAATACAGAATTAGATTTTTTTTTTTAAACTCACGATACAGTGAAGCTGCAGTAAGTAAATCATTCAAAACAAAACAACAACAACAAAAATAGTGCAATAAGTAAACTGCCATATAGCAAGGGACAACTGTACCACCCTCCCTACCTGAAGTTTTATCTTTTCTTTTTGGTACTGAGTATTGAACCCAAGGCCTTCACCCTACAACTACAGCCAACTACAGCCCAGCCCTTTTTAAATTTTTATTTTGAGACATAGTCTTACTCAGTCACTTAATTAAACTGGCTGGGGTGAAACAGTCCTTTTGCCTTAGCCTAAGGTGTGAGTCACCATGCCCAGCTAAATTTTGACTTTTAAAGGGCGTAAACTATGAGCAGGATTCCTCATCTATAAAGTGAGAAGGAGGATCTTTCTGAATTTTTGAGGTCTATGTACTCTTACTATTCTAACTCATGATTATCTGTAGTTTCAGTTCTAGTCTCACATGTTGATACAAAGTCATTTGTCTATAATTAGGGTATAGTTGTTTTTCTTTTCATTTTACTAAAGTACTGTCAAGTTTTTTAGCCAGTAACAGTTGTAGTCTGTCTTGGTGTTTTTAGCTTGAACTCTACCCATTAGTAGGCCTTAAAATAAAGTTAGTGGTTATCACAGCCAGCATTTTTTAATGGAATAAATGAAATAGAAAATACCATGTATTGAATATAGTGTCAGCATTATTTGTGAATTTTATTTCATTTTATTTATTTTAGCTACTAAGGATTGAACCTTTGCACTGAGCTACATCCCCAGCCCTTACTTTTTTTCCCCCTTTTAACTCTCGAGACAAGGTTTCACGAAGTCATTGAATTTGCAGGCCTCCTGCCTCAGCCTCCCGGAATGCTGGGAGGATAAGATTCACACCACCATACCCAGCTGTGCTCACCCATTTGTACTGTTGAGTAGTTTTTTTTAGTGTGAGATACCTTCTAAAATTGAAAACATTGTATAACTCTTAAGTGTACCTTTTGTTGATTTTATGTTGATCTTTATTGTGAAACAATGTGCTAGAATCTCATGATAAAATAATATAGTATAGAATAAAATCCAGCATCAAGCTCTGCATAGTGGCTCAGGCCTATAATCCCAGCTCTCAGGAGCCTGAGGCAAGAGGATCATTGTGTGTTCCAGGCCATCCTGGGCTACACAGTGAGTTTAAGGCCAGCCAGAACGACATAGTAAGACACTGTCTCAAAAACAAACAAACAAAAAAAATAAAATCCAGCATGAGGCAGTTTTAGACAGGACTGTCCATGGAACTGAGTGTCTCACTTACCAGGGTCTGGCTTGCCTGTTTTGACTTGTAAACCCCAAGACCTCTGCCCCACAGAGGCACCAAAAGAACGTCTGTGGCTGTGTCCAACAGCCTGGCTTCAAATCCAACACTTCTGCGCTCCAACTCTGTAGCCTTAGACATATCCCTTGACCTCTCAGCCCTGCTATTCTGGTCTGTGAATAGATACATCAGTGGTGTGACAGAGAGATTATGAAATTCAGTACAACAGTGACTGTGAAGTGCTTAGTACAGGGACTGGCAGATGGACACGCACAATTAATGGGCCCTTAGAGTTTGCCATACCGCGAAGCTCTAAAATACTCTGAAACTGTACCAGACACTTTTGTCATTTTGCATACTGAATAAGATGAGCTATGTTTTACTAATCCACTGTCTTCTCTATTTAATGGTTGTTAGAGTAAAAGCGTCACTGTTTTCAATAGGTTATCGAGGACACCAAAGAAAAAAGAACCATCATCCATCAAGCCATAAAATCTCTATTTCCTGGACTAGAGACAAAAACGGAGGACCGGGAAGGGAGGAGATACATTGTAGCCTACCACGCAGCTGGGAAGAAGGCCTTGGCAAGTGAGTGTGTAAGGAGAAGGCATGCCCCCTGGGCTGCCCTTCTGCGGCTGCTGGGCGGTCACGCAGAGCAGGGCAGACTGTGTTGCCCCTTCAGAGAGGGTGCGTGTTGCCATTTCAGACACCAGAGCCATCCATGGCCTCAGCGTGCTAGGGGCACTGGGCCTTTTCTGTGAGAAAGGTGTGTGGGAGTGACACCTTCCCTGAAGGGCAGAATGGCTGAGTGGCCATTCAGGAGGAAAATGGAAGGATTGTTTCTCATCTGTGTTCTTAATGGAGGAGAGAGAGCTTTCAGATGAATAAAAATGCTGTTCATTTGCTACTGCTTTCCATCTCTGAGTAGCTTTCTCGCTCACACAGACAATAGGTGGAATATTTGGAAAGGTATCCCCTCACCTGAGCACAGTTTTCAGTGTATTGTTCATTTATGAATCACTGGGATATTTATATTCTCGTGTGCTTTCTACAGCCATGAAAATTTGTTTGCCTATAACCTTAAGAAAAATTAGGTAATGTTTCTTCTCTTTCCTATCAAATCAATAGAGAAAATTTTGTTTTATTTTCTGTGGTACTGGGGATCAAACCCAGGGGTACTCTGCCAGTAAGCAACATCCCCAGTCTCTTATTATTTTCCTCGTCCTCCTCTACCAGTGATGACTCCTGATAGTAATCAATGACTGTACTTGCTAGAGCAGAACTCCAAGGCTGTATAACCAGATCGGTCCTTTACAGCTCTGTCAGAACCCCTGTTGGTCAGTTTAAAAGGTAGCGTTGTATGTGGATGAAGACGTGTTTATAACCATGAGATTCTAGAAGAAAAGGCAGCAAGAATAAAGTTAACTAAGCCCAAGAAAGTCAACGTAAGCAATGAGAAACCTTGAGCAGTTGGGGGAAGAGGGTGCATTTGGAGGCCACTTCTTAGTGATTCCGGAAGAAAAAGTGCAGTGATGTGTGTGCAGCTGCATGGGGCATCCCTCTTCAGTCTGCAAACTGACCATCAGCATGTGCTTCCTTGTTATCCAGACCACAGTATAAAATTGCTCCCAAGTAGCTTTTCTGCAGCCAAGGTTACTGGAGAGAAGTAAGCCCTGTGGTAACGATTTTGCCGACTGTTTTTCAGTTCCCTGAGGACAGCTCACAGGTAGTAGCTGTAGAGGGCACAGATGAATTACTCCACATGGGCATGCCCAGGAGTGTTTGGGCTCATTCTCCCCGGAGTGTTGCTGGGAGACGTGGAGGGAGGGTTCCCTGGGGAGGTGGCCCGCTGCTCTGCTGTATGGCTGTGGGGAAAAGGCAGGGCTTTCCTTTTAAACTGGCTGCTTCCTAGAAATGTTCTTCATTTCTTAGGGGATGCCAAGTCTTGTGGGGGGAGAAGGGAGTTTGCAGGACAAGGTGGCCCAGAGTTTCTGTGCCCTTTCCATTTTTTTTTTTCTTTCTTTTGTTTTCTCTTACTTTCCATTCCAGAGATTTTTTAATCTGTATTGTAAAATATTAGTACATGTTTGCCATACATCGTGATCACATTAATTATGGGGAATTTGTACCTTTATATGTTTATCTTAATTCTTTTTTCCCCATTCTCCTCCCTTCCCTTCAACCTTTCTTCCCTTCCCCTTTTACAAAAGCTGTTTCCATTTTTTTGCCTTCATTCTTTTTTTTCTTAAGACCTTTTTCCAGCCAAGCGTGGTGGCACACACCTGTAATTCCAGCACTCAGGAGGCTAAGGCAAGAGGATTGCCACGGGTTTGAGGCCAGCCTGGGCTACATAGTGAGTTCAAAGGCCAGCTTTGATTACCTGGGGAGACTGTCTGAATCAAGCAATCAGCCCCTTTCCCTTTTCTTCCCTTCCCTCTCCCCCTCTTCCTTGTTTCGCTTCCCATGTGAGCATGTTCTTTTTTCTTCCCAGTATCTGTCCTCCATTATACTCTTCATTTACCCTTGGGGTTCCTCACACAAGAGAAACAATGCCATATTTAAACTTGTGTGTCCAATTTATTTCGCTTAAGGTTATGGTGTTGATATGCACCTATTTACCTAAAAATAATCTCTTTTATCCTTCATTTTGGTTTGGTTTGCTTTGGTTTGTTGAGACAGGGTCTCACTATGTAGTGCAGGCTGGCCTTGAACTCACTTATGTAGCCCAGGTTGGCCTTGAACTCATGATGATCCTCTTGCCTCAGTGTTCTGAGTGCTGGAATGACAGATGTGCACCACCACTCTTCATGGAAGAGTGGTACTCCATTGTATATAAATGCCAGATTTTCTTTATCCTTCCATCTGTTGATGGGCATATGGACTATTTCCAAGATTTCATTATAAATTGTGCTGTTATAGACATGGGAATGCATATGTTGCTATGATATGATGCTCTTAGCTCTTTTGGAAGATACCTAGAAGGGACCCTTCTCTTTATTTAACTCATGTCACATCTCTGGTTCTGTCTACATCGGAATTTTCTCTGTTTATACCACACCTCCTTTCATTTTCTTCAGTACAAAATTTTCTTAAGATTTTCTAACTGAAATGCTGACCTGTATAATACAAGCAACTCCTCCCTATCTGCCTTTGGGCATCTCAGTAAAATAGGAATTTCTCCCCTTTAAAAGAGGCATAAAGGCTGGGCAGATTGGATTAGCCTTTGCGTGGAGCTCTTATGTGGGATGTGAGGAAGGGGTTTGCCATTAGTCGAAGATGGGCTGAGCTCTTCCCTCCGTGCTCCCTCCTGAAGGCAGTTCCTCGGCCCAGACTGTCACTCGAGGGCCTGTGCTCACCTTTTCCAGGTCTAGCTTTCCTGGTACAAGCTGGGAGTGGCATGTGGTAAATGCTGCTAGGAAAGGAAAAGAGCTTCTCCTGAGGCTGTTGTTCTTGGCGTTGCAGTAAAACCCAGTACCAGTGTGGGCCACCTTGCCTAGGTTTGAAGGCCTCAGTGCAGAGTTTTGCAATTTGTGATGTTTTAAGCTTATTTACTATCAAACCCTGATATAGATTGTTATTGGTGGGTTATGTTTGTGGAGGAGATTTGCAATGTTCTTTTTTTTTTCTTTTTTGGTTTTTCTCCAGTACCAGGAACTGAACTCACGACCTTGCGCTTGCCAGGCAGGCGCTTTGCCACTGAGCTAAATCCCCAGCCCCTTGCAATGTTCTTATATTTATTTATTTTTGCTTTTTAAAAAACTTCTATTTTATTAGTATATGTTTGCAATTCACGCAGTGTACAGTTATCTTGGGGAGTGGTTACGCGTATATATTACAGCTTGTTTTTTTCCTAACCCCGTTTCCCTCCCAGCCCCCTCTCCCACCCTCTGGTTCCCCTGTCACCTTTTCTATATTTGTTGATGTTATTTTTCTTAGCTCATGCTATGGCATGTAATGTTTACATTGATTAGAGTTATTAGGATCCTGTGCATGGCACAGCTTTATTCCTTTCATTTCCCCTTCCCCTCCTCTTCACCCCTCACCCATGTTCTCTTGGACCACTTCCCTATTGGATGAGATCTATCTCCTTGTCCCTTTGTATCCATCCTTTATCATTTCCTTTGTTTGTGCTCTGCCTTACTATATATAGATATCACATTTTGTTTCTCCAGTCATCAGTTGATAGACATATAGGCTGCTTGTAGGATTTAGCTACTACAAATTGTGCGGCTTTAAACATTAGTGTGCAAGTATTGCTGTAGTATAATGATTTAAGCTCTTTGGGGATGATACCGAGCAGAGGAATAACTGGGTCATGTGGAATTTCTAATTTCAATTCTTTGAGACCTCTCCATACTGATTTCCATAATGGTTGTACTAGTTTGCATTCCTACCAACAGTGCAAGAGGGTTTCTTTTTGCCACAGCCATGCCATGCGTTTTTGCTCTTCATGTTTGATTGAGAGCATTGTTTGATTTTTTAATGATAGATTTCCAAAAATTTTTTTTTCTCTTTGGTACCAGGAATTGAACTCAAGGCCTTGAGCTTGCCAGGCAGGCACTGTGCCACTGAGCAATATCCCAGGCAAAAATTCTTAACGCAAATTTTTCTGTAGTAGAACTGTGTATTCTAAAACAAAATTCTTAACACAAATTTTTCTGTAGTAGAACTGTGTATTCTACAAAATTCTTAACGCAAATTTTTCTGTAGTAGAACTGTGTATTCTAAAACAAAATTCTTAACACAAATTTTTCTGTAGTAGAACTGTGTATTCTAAAACATAGATGTGGTACCTTGTAAATTATGGTGCCCAAATAAATAACCAACTATGTAGATTAAGGCACTTTTTCTGTGTTAAGCCAGTCTGATGGGATACATTACCTTGTCTACCAAAACATAATTATATGGTAGTTTTCTGGAATACTGTATAACCACTACAACATTACGTAAGCAGGTTAATTAATTAACATTTTGAGATAGTATATATTCCAAATACTTCTGAGAACTTGTTTTGTCTGCCTGCCTGCCTGCCTGCCTGCCGTCCTCCCTTCCTTCCTTTTCTTTATTTTTTGAGGCAAGGTCTTGCTACATAGTTCATCCAGGCCTTAAACTTACTTTGTAGCCCAGGCTGGCCTCAAATTCATGGCAGTCCTCCTGCCTTAGCCCCCAGAGACCTGGGATTATAGGCATGCGCCACGCTGGGCTGAGAACTTGTTTTTCTTTTTTTCTTTTTTTTCCGATACTGGGAATTGAACTCACGACCTCGCACTTGCCAGGCAGGCGCTGTGCCGCTGAGCTAAATCCTCAGCCCTTAGAGAACTTGTTTTTAAAGACTTAAATTCTTTTTTAAAAAAATTATGTCCTGTGACTGATACTGGTTTTCTATACTTTTCAAAAGGAATGATTCCAGGAGGGATCCCTACATGTAGACTCATGGTACAAAGAAGCTCTTGGGGAGTGCTGGTGTTCCAGAATCCAGAGGAGTAGGGAGCCCCAGTAGTGTGAGTGGTCAGCAGCAGGAACCAGCAAGATGGGAACTCTGAAACGGGTCCATCAGTGTAACACCATGTAAATCACTTGTTTTTTTTGCCAAAGCAGTTTCAGTGAAGTGCTGAGGTTGAAAACCATTCTACACAGTAGATTGAGGTGGAGGGCAGTATGTACAGTTGGGTTTTTTAGGTAAGCTATAAAGAGAAGGAAAAAGGAACAGTTACAGAGAGGGGGACAAAGATTTGGCCTTAAGGATGGAAGACCCCTGAGCATATAAACCGAAGTGAAAGAACCATTGGAAAGGGAGGGTGAAAATTCAGGAGAGCAACAAAATAAAGATAGTACACAGAGTAGTGTCCCTGAGGAAGCTGAAAGGTTGGTATGCAAGTGTGCTGATGAGAAAGACTTTGAGTGAGAAGGCAGGAATGTGCTGCATGCTACCCCATCCTGTCATCCCTCTCGATACCACATCTTTCCTCCTTATCGTATTTATGAGCATTTCTGTACTTGATATGTGAATCTTCCTGAATGTGGCTTCCTTTCTTCCAAAACGGGCTGCCACGTCAGATGCTCAGGAAGTGGAAGCATTCTGGAAATAGGAAACATGTTACCCAGCCTAAAAATGCTTTGTGTTTGTATCATAATGAGAATGTTTCAAAAATGTTTCAAAATTGTCTTAAATTCATTTAAATAGTAAAGCTAAATACATGCTTCCTGGCATTCTTAGCAGTCAGAGTTTTATCAAGTTAAAACAGATTGCCCAAAATAAGTTTAGATTCACTGATTTTGTTATTTAGAATGTCCCAGTTAGTACAAATGCTTTACTATTTTGTGTATTGCGTGCACTTAGAAAAAGAATACTTGCATTTATTATTTGCAGAGAAGATCATTGCATGCATGCTCAGTACTTACGTTTATTAACAGAGGATGCATGCTTTTGATCCAGAGCTCATAGTCGGTTGTCATGGTTTCTATTAAGGATAATAGCATTAGATTTTCAGTCTTTTGGCTTCATTTATTTCCTACCATTATACTTAATTGTGAATGCACTGAAGGGCTAGTAGTTAAGGGAAAATGTAGCTATGCTTTTTTTTTTTAAACATTTTATTATGGACATTTTTTAACATGCACACAAATAAATGGACCTCATTTGTATATGGGATCTGTGTATCCATCAGCCATCCTGATTATCAGCATTCTGTTGTTTTTGTTGCATCTATTCCTCCCACTTTCCTTGAGCATTTTAAAGCGAATTCTACATGACACATTGTTTCAGTCATGAAATACTCTAGTATATATTTATCAGAGAAGTACTGAAACTTCAAACCATTATCACAGCCAGTGCAATCAAAAGAATTGAGAAATTATTAATTACAACGTTGTTTTTCTTTCAGTATCTAAAAAATGTCTCTTACATACACATAGGTTGTCCAAATTATGATAAAAGAGGGTCAGGATTTAAGTCTCTTGAATCGTCTCTTAAATTTCTTCTAATCTGTAAGAGAAGTTAAAGAACTGTCTTCTCTAATAATCATTCAGCATTGTTAACCTTCAAAATATCTTTATACTTCAATGCAGGAAACTTATAAAATAACAAAGCACTAGTTACCTGCAGCCTCACTACTACAGGTAATCACTACTAGCATCTTGGACATGTCTTTACATACTGTATTTAAAGAAGCAAATCTGTAGATGGGGAAGCATTTGATAGCCAGACTTGAATCTTCTGCTACTTCCCCTGGGTACAGGGTGCAGCTCTGAGCAAGAGCTGACATGCCCACTGAAAAGATGGAGACAGGGAGGCTGGTGTGGGTGAGCTTTCTGCTTGTTCATTGTTTGCCTCCACAGCATCCCATTGTTACTGTCTGAATGGCTGTTAACCCACCACATAACTAACTACCAGGCACTATAGAAACCTTCAGTACGAACTTAACCATGCGACCATTTGCATGTTCACCTCTAAAGCACTTTATATTATTATAAATTAAACATTGCTCTCTTGTGCTCTTTATGCTGTGCATTTGGACAGAGGTCAGAACTGCAGCAGGTAAGAGCGGTTGGTGTTTCGTCTAGATGAAATGAAATGCCAATGATTTTCTCACAAGTGCTGCATATAGACAGCTTTGCTTCACTGATAATGAGCTGGGAGGAAAACTGAAAATGATATTCCACTCAAAATTTTCTGAGGAAATTCTGCATAGTTCACACCAAGAGCTAAAGAAATACTTATGATACTTTTCTATGCAGGACAGAAGAGACGCGCTGTTTATTAAAAAGGAAAATCGATTTGCCAGGCATATATACCATGGCAGTTTTCAGAGATGGTTTATTGATTCTTTACGTTGGTTGATGGTTCTTTACGTTGTAACTGAAATCACACACCTCTTCTCAAGCAGTATTTTTGCCTTGGTCAAGCCAGGTACCCAGTTAACTTCAGTACCAGGAACATGTTACACTTGTGAAGATAAAGGATTTATGAGTTCATGTGAAAAGACTATTTTAGGGACAAAGTGCCATCTTAAAAATAAAAAGATTTTGTCAGTTGATTGTGCAAAATATTATTTCATAGTTTTTCTTCTGTGGAGTTACAGAAGCCGAATGAACTAGATATGTTCTTCACATAGTGACTGCGGTTTTCAGTCATACAAGACTTAGGAATATTGTGCAATGCCTATGAAATGTAGCTGTGGCTTACGGATTTTTCCCCAAGTATTAATTTTTCAAAACTCTTTGACTAGTTTTAATCTTACATTGTTTAAGTATATATTTCTAGGTTGCAGTGTAGTTGAAATGCTCAATTAAAAGAACAGTTTTAAAATCACATTTTCCCTTGTTGTGCAGTGTTTATCAATCTTGAAATTGAACAATTAAAGTAACACTGGCTCAGACATTAGCTTTTAACATGGCTTAATTTATTTTCTTAAATTTTGAGACAGGATCTTGTTAAATCACTAAGTTGCCCAGGCTGGGTTTGAATTTGCAGTCTTCCTACTCAGCCTCCCAGAGTGCTGGGAGTACTGCCATGCCATGCTTAACATGGTTTACTTTTTAAAGTTTCCTTTTCCATAAGAGTGACAGTCAATTCTTGAATCCTAGCTGCTCTGACAGGTAGAATCTCTAGACCATTTGCAGACGTTAGCTAAACTTCTTTGGTGGAAGTGGCCTTTGGGAACTCTAACTGTGTGGCTAAGGCCCCAGCCCTTCTGCTGTCTGTGTGAGTGCCTGCCTGTGACCCTAAGGCAGGGTAGGTGGGTAGCTGCACTTGTGCTGAAGCTGTCAGCCCTGTCAGACCTTTGTGCTTTCTTGGCCCTCTGCTGCGTGAAGATTACTGGTTGGACCTAAGCATTTGTTACACCACCTGCGTTTCAGCTTTTGATTTGAAATATGGCCAGTGTTAAATGTCTAGTCACAAAGATTTAATACCTGTGGTCCATAAGCCATAACCACTTAACCAGTATTTCCTGTCAGGCCAGATCCAGCTTGTCAACTCAGAGTTTCTCTAGCTAAAAGTGAGCTCCATAGAGTTTCAGAAGAAAAAACTTCCACCATATTAACATAACTTTTATTATGGTACATATAACATTTAATTTTGTTTTTAAGATCCAAGGAAACATTCTTGGCCAAAATCTAGGGGAAGTTACTGCCACTTCCTTCTATATAAGGAAAACAAAGACACCATGGATGCTATTAATGTACTGTCTAAATATTTAAGGTTAGTATCTTATTTTTGTTTCTATATAAAATCAAAACAAATGTGTTTTCTTCTGTCCATGTTAATGGAAAAAAGGAGCAGGAGCATGGGTCCCAGTGATAGTTTTCTTAGACAATAGCTGAATTAATTTTCCCCCATGCCAGTAGTTCAAGATGAAAAATCTAGAAGTAGATAATTCACAGAGTTGAGAGTTACCAGTCCACTCAGATTAAAGTAAAAATGACGTTTCTCCCTGAAAGCTGGACTTTAATGTGGTTGCAGAGGTTGACTGGGTGTTCTCAGCTCCTGGAAACAAATTGTATGGAGAACCTGAGACCACAGATCCAGAGGAAGCCAGGGTACCATGGGGTCAAGTGTCAGGTGCTGACACTTTCTTGGTTTTGCTTTTTGAGTAGTAATGGCTGCTGGCACTACACCAAATCTGTTGCTATAGAAAATTTAACTCAGCTTAAACCTGGTAGCAGTGTATTCACTTGTTCGGACAGCCATAACAAAATGCCACAGACTCAGTGGCTAGAACCACAAAGATTAATTTTCTTAACTGCATGGCTCAAGACCAAGGTGTTCGTAGCTGCCTTTCTGGAGGCCTTTCCCCCTGATGGCAGATTAGGCCTTCTCCTTGGTTTTTGCATGGTTGTCACTCTGTACCCCTCATGTTTGTGTCTCCAGATTTCCTCCTCTTAAAAGGATGCTGGTCAGGCTGGATTAGGGATACCTCGTTAGCCACATTTTAATTTGATCCCCTCTTCAAAGGCCCTGTTTCCAAAAATGACCACATCCTGATGTTCTGGGGGCCAGGGCTTCAACATACGGATTTGAGGGTACACAATTTAACCTGTAACACTCAGGAAGAACCTAATTATGAGACATCTATGTTCCTCTTATTTACAAGCCTCCTGGAGAGTATCCATGGTGCCCTGCCAATTCTTCATTGCAGAACTGCTCCAGTCTCAATTTCAGCATTTGACTTTTTCATACAGAATAATACCACGTATTTAAGGAAAATTTATATTGTTATTAACTTTTTAAAAATTGTAGGTACAAATTTTCAAAGTTCTGTATTATCTAGACTGATTGTTTAAAATTTCTTCTTTTCTGTAGTCTTAGTGAATGAATTGTTTGTAGTCCATGAACATGTATCAGTGCATCATTTACATTTCTGAATAGTCCCAGCTTTGATAGTATCAGTTACTCATAGCTACAAATGTTCTAAGTCAAGCCCAGCTAAGAAAGAAGTTGTTCAAGCGTCATTTTTCTAGTTTGCATGTTAATAAAAGTTTCTATTCTCTTATTCTGTGGCAGTATTTCAAGTGTGTTTGTTTTAAAACTTAAGAGAAATGTGATTTCCTTGAGGTATATGACTTCACATTGTTTTGTTTCTATCTTAACAGAGTCAAGCCAAACATATTCTCCTACATGGGAACCAAAGACAAAAGGGCTATAACAGTTCAAGAGATTGCTGTTCTCAAGTAAGTAAAGAGGACATATCAAGATGCATACTGCAGGCTGGGATGTCTCCCAGGGAGAGGGCTTGAACAGCATGCACAGGCCTACGTCAATCTCTAGTACTAGAGAGGAACAAAAAGGATTTGCATGGCAAATCGTAACACTGCTTTTATAAGTTCTCAAGTTTACTTCCTGAGATTAATCTCTTATCTTTAGATTGGTACCTCTGCCATTTATACATGTGTGTTTAGGTTTCTGCATTTTGTTTGTGTTTTGAGATAAGGTATCCCAGGCTGACCTTAAACTTGCTCTGTAGTGCATGCTGGCTTTGCGCTTTTTTTGTGTGTGTGTCGGAAATCGAACTCAGGACCTCGAGCTTGCCAGGCATGTGCTGCACCACTGACCTATCTTCCTGACCCCCACCCTTTTTTCTTTTTGTGATTTTTTTTTTGTGTGTGTGAGGGGAGTGACAGGATCTTACTGTGTAGCCCAGACAATCCTTGTGCCTCAGCCCCTTGAGTGCTGGGATGGCCTTGTACTTGTGATCTTCCTATCTCAGCCTCCTGAATATTGGGATTACAGGCATGTACCACCATGCTTGACTGCTTCTGGCTTTTTTAAAAAATCATTTTCTGGCCAGGCATGGTGGCATATGCCTGTAATCCCAGCACTTGGGAGTCTGAGACAGGAGGATCATTGGGAGTTCGAGGCCAGCCTCTGCTACACAGTGAGCTCAAGGCCAGCCTGAACTGCATAGCGAGACCCTGTCTCAAAAAGACAAAAAAAAAAATCATTTTCTGGCATGGCATGGTGACACATACCTGTAATCCCAGCACTTAAGAGGCTGAGGCAGAGGGGCTGGGGATTTAGCTCAGTGGCAAAAGCGCCTGCCTGGCAA